CACACATTTCTGTCTCATACCTAATTTTTCATCCACCAGTATCCTCAAGTCCTTCTCCTCAGGGCTGCTTTCAGTAATTCATCCCCCAGCCTCTACTGATATTGGAGATTGCCTTGACCCAGGTGGAGGACCTTGCACTTAGCCTTGTTGAATGTCATGAAGTTAACATGGGTTCATTCATGCCAAGTATGATACATTTATTTACATCAGAAAAATTGATTCCCTAATAAGAAGATTGTGGAAAACACTATTTATGCAAAAAGTAGGCATTTGGTGGTCACAGATCAGTACCCATGTTTTCATTTGCTTAGCTAGCCTCCTAAGTGTAGTGATTCAAGTTGGTATTTTGCCTCCAGGTTGTTTATTTTTTTATTCCTGCAGAAAGAATATTCATAAGATCTGTAACTAAATTTGACAGGGAAACTTGGCTTGTCTATCCGTGCCCATTTTTTTCTCTCAAAGTTAGCCATTCCTGTAACATTTCTGGTATTTCACTACTTCGAAAAGGTGCAGAAGTCTCTAGGAGACAGTCTCCTAAACATAAAGAATTAAAGATTTTTTGCAGTTGCAACGCCAAGCTGCATGGCAGCACACTCGTGCATCTGCACAACTCATAGTGGCAGGCAAGGTGCTTATTAATAAGGGGATATGGAAACATTTTTACACATCATTTCAATTTGTTGTCAACTGAATGATACAGACATGAAGTTGGGACGACCTGACCAGACAATTTGAAAAAGTTAACTCAAAGTCAATGCAGTCCTGGTGCATCTTCCTTTTTCATAGCAGTTTGGTGTCCATGGCCTTCCCTTATGCTCCCTTAATGGGAAAAGGGATATGCTGAAAGAATAAAAGAGACTCTCTTTTCCCTGGAGAAGGACAAACACAGAACTTGTATTGAGAATGAGAAGGGTTCATAGCGCTGTGCAACATTTTGGAAAGAGATAAGAGCAACAGGGTGAGGAAAGAGAGATGCAAGATGGTGTTACTGTCTGTGTGTAGCAGGGCCTCATGCCTGCTGGCACCAGGGGAAGGGGAGGGCTGATGCAGCCTAAGACCTCATGGTAGGAGAAAGGCCAACAGCATACTTTTCTCACAGGTACAGTGAAGAAAGCAGAGTCTGCCCCAGAAGAGTGGTTATTAAGGGGTGTGAATATAAAGGAGTAAAAATTGTTCAACATTACATCAGCTTTCAAACCCCTGTAGTGAACAGTTGCATCAAAATTCACATCCACAAAAATAACCCACCTCCAGCTCATAGTTGCTTGGTTATGTGGAGACTTGTTTCTTAAGAAAAGCATTTCAAACTTTGATGACTGCTGAGAGTGGCAGGAGTTGATGAGGTCCTCCTCTGCAAATCTCTTTCATCGTCTTTGGTAATTACAGTTAAAGACAACTTTGGCATGGGGTTGCTATTCTTTCTGGCATAGATTATTGCAAGGCTTCTAACTCTAGCTGAGCACAAATACACATCTACTTTAGACCTTTGAGGGGAGAGAGCCTTGAGCTAAGTCCCTTTACAAACTGGAGCCTGGAGAAATAAATACCAGGGTTTCAGGTTGTTTACATTAAGAGAAGTGAATATTTTAATATATTAAAAGTTGTTAACCTCTTTCAGAAACTTTACTGGAAACAAGTGACTAGGTTTGAAGAATGAAACATGATTCCTAATAGCTTGCTTTTCTTTCATATTCACATGAAAATAATTGCCTGTCAAGCCAAACCCTCAGCTACCTTTTTCCTCTGCAAAATCCCCTGCAGTGTATAGATAATAGAGAAGACTAGAAGTACCTCTTACTGTTCCCATCTTTGTGTGCTCTCTGAGACGAACTTGCCGTTTTGGGCCTCTTCTGACTTTTCCAAGTGGCTGTATGTACTCCTTGTTGATGTTTTATACCCTGCAAAGGTCAGAGAATGTGTGGTGACTGTATCATATAACATGGTCTCACTAATCTACTGTGTTCCTTTCTTGCATGTTAAATGCTCTACCCTGTGGCATTCTGCAAAGCATCCACGCTGAGATGTGGGACCCATACCTTTACTTTGAACCCTACCTAGAGAAGTCTGGCCTGATGTCATGCAAGATTCTGTGTATTTCACTCTAACAGGATTAAGTTCACCAGATGGTTTCAGTTTCCCTATTTTAAGCATAGACAGGGGCGGAAGCAGAATTTACTTTTAAAAGTCAAAATTTATGCCTTTAAAAAGCTGCTGTTTAATATTTTTTTCCAGAGTCCTCTTAACCATCGATTTTTTTTCTACAAAACCTGTGATTTTGAATCCAGAAGTAGATACTTCACCTTAAGAAAATCTGGAATACTGTCTTGAAGCAGCAGAGAACTGAAACACAAACTACTCTGTAAATCTATTGTCAAAATATATTAGCTCAGGCTGAAAGCATTTTGCCTGCTTTTGGTTGATGGGTGATAACTGGGAAACTAATGACCTTAAACAACCAAACCCCAAAGTTTGGTCTTGAAGAGGGGACATGGAGAGTTTTGCAAGAGTGGTTCCTAGTACTCACGAATCATCACAGCATTAGCTGCATCCAGAATTACACATTTTTTTCTGCACAACTCTGGCCATTAGCCAAAGGAGGGAAATCGGAGGAAAAATCTGCATAGTTCTGTCGTGTATGTCTAATGAAAGTACCTATGCAAAGAATAAGTGAAAAATTAGTAGTCTTTCATTTAAAAACAGACAATATGAAGAAACTGTGAAAAGAAGAAACTGTGAGGCAGCTGACAGAAAGGAAGTTTAAATTTCTCTGGGACGTCAATGGTTCTGAGATTAATAAATTACAGTAATTGAATTGTGGTAACAGCAACTCTGAGTGAAGCAAAGAGATGTCTGATGGGTCATATGGCATTTCTGAGAGACAGATGTATCAAGGTTCCTGAAGAAGTGTTGGTGTAGACGGCGCGCACTAGGACTACCTGCATACTGTGTAATATACTTTTCTCTTTGCTACCTATTGGTAGCAAATCAAAAGTACCTCTGCTGAATGTAGTAGAATGTGAACAGGTTTGGCCTCCACCACAGTATCACTACCAGCTTGTTGATATTGTTTAGGAATGACTCGGACAGTGGGGGGTTGCTTGGTTTGTTGTTTTTTTGTTGTTTTTTTAAGTTTATAGACTATGGTGAACATAATACTCTGTGCCCACTTTTCACTTCTGTACATGCTTGCAATGATCAAAATTTACTTGAATTAATTATATAATACCACAAAAGCACCAAATTAGTGGCATTTCCATTATGCTTTTAGTAGCATTCTTTATCTGCCAAATGCTACACAATGGAATAGGTTACCTTTCTGTTTACATTTCTTCTGAAGAAGTGCTAGGGTTTATTTACTTGTTTATCTTCTCTTGTCATCATTAACATCACTGTGATACATTTACAAAACTGTGTTTTGCACTGATTTTGTACTCATAGGTACATATGACTCCTGTAATGGAGGAACTTCAGAATTAATCTTGTGGATGAAGGTGGGAGGAAGGACAACTTCAATAATTTAAAGGAAATCCATTCAGTTTATTTTAGAGTTAAGTCAGTATGGAAGAAGTTTTTCTGTTTTAAAAAACACAAAGGAACAAAGAACGACACAAATGCATGCAGATGCTGTCCTTTCTCTTGGATAGTTCAAAATGGTTTGGATTTAAAAATTCAGTCTTGGCAGGCTTTTAGTCCTCAAGGAATGTGTGCTTGTTAAATCCCGGCCAAAAAAAAAAAAAAAAAAAAAAAAAAAAAAAAAAAAAAA